ACAAACACCCCAAAATAAATACAGAGCCCCCCAAAATCCCCCTCCCCAGCTCTGAGGGTGTTTAGGGGGTTCGGACCCCCCCAAATCACCACAGCCCCATTTGCACCTGGGTGACCCAGAATTGAATTGGGGACACAAAATCGTGGGGAGCTCTGGGATTTGGGAAAAACAGCAGCAGGTTTGGGGTGAAATCCTGAAATTTTGGGGGAGACAAACCCTGGGGATTTGGGGGGTTTAAAACTGGAGGAATATTGGGGCCAAATTCCAGCAATCTGATTATTTTAGGGATGAAACTCCAGCAATTTTGGAGCAAAACTGCAGCAATTTCACCTCCAAACCTCAGAAATTCGGGGATGAAACCCTGGAGATTTTGCCTCCAAACTCCCAAAAATTTTTGGGGCAAACCCTGCAATTTTGGGTCCGAACCCCAGCTATTCAGGGATGAAATGGCAACAATTTTGGGTTCAAACCCTGGCGATTTGTGAATTAAATCCTGATGATTGTGGCTCCAAACTCCAGCGATTTCGGGATGAAATCCCCTCGATTGTGGTTCCAATTCCCATCAATTTGGGGATGAAATCCCAATGACTTCAGTCCAGACCTCCTTATTTGGGACTGAAATCCTGACGGGTTTGGGTCCAGTTTGCAGCAATCCAGGGATGAACTCCTGCCCATCCCCGCCTCCAAACCCCAATCCCAATCTTGATCTCACACATAAATCCCAATCCCAATCTTGATCTCACGCATAAATCCCAATCCCAATCTTGATCTCACGCATAGGCTGACTCCTGTCCCATCTCCTGATCCCAAATCCCAATCCCAATCCCAGTCCCTCTATCACACATAGGCCGACTCGCTGGACTGAGTCCTGCCCGTCTAACCCCAAATCCTGATTCCAGTCCCAAATCCAGACCCCAAACCCCAATTAATCCCAGTTTCACACATAAGCCGACTCGCTGGACTGAGTCCTGCCCATCTGACCCCAATCCTAGTCCCAGTTTCACACATAGGCCGACTCACTGGACTGAGTCCTGCGCATCTGACCCCAATCTTAGTCCCAGTTTCACACATAGGCCGACTCGCTGGACTGAGTCCTGCCCAGTGCTGATCCCAATCCCAAATCCAGACCCCAAACCTCAATTAATCCCAGTCTCACACATAGGCCGACTCGCTGGACTGAGTCCTGCCCATCTGACCCCAAATCCAGACCCCAAACCCCAATCTTAGTCCCGGTATCACACATAAGCCGACTCGCTGGACTGAGTCCTGCCCATTTGACGCCAAATCCTGATTCCAGTCCCAAATCTAGACCCCAAACC